CCTGAAAAAACAAAACAAACAAACAAAGAAAACCGGCCTTGTTGGATTGAAGATACATGTGCAGAAAAAGTACTGGTGTAAACATGCAGTCCAGTCACTGTAGGGAGGAGAAAGCCTCATCCTGTTAAGCTTCTTCAGGTTTGATATGCAAGCCCCAGGCTGCTGAAGAAACGTCTAGCCAGTGGGGCAGCTCTCAGATCTGCCAAGACCATTGATCTGTAAGGGCTAGAAAAGCCATCCCTGCCTGCCCACCTGCCCTGAGGCAACCACAACCACTTGGGTGACACCTGATGTAGTATGTTATTTCCCCCTCTTCTCTAGTTTTCTAAAATTACAGGAAAAGTGTCCTACAACCATTTAAAGAGGTAGGGGATGGGTCAATTCTCAGTTGATTTGTAAGGGAAACTACAGAAAGATGACAAACCCAGGTCCTTTAACAATGCACATAACCACCCAATTTGAGGGCTCTGCTCCTTGTCATTGTAGTGCCCCAAGCCTATGAATTCTGATTGTAGCTGTTCTTAATCTCTGAGAAGCTTATCTTCACAACACTTTCCTCACCCAACTCTGTCTTAAACTAGTGAAATTTGATGTTGAAGGCAGACTAAATTTTTCCTGATTTTGCCAGAGTGGGTCAACTGGGAAAACTGCCCTTTTGCAAATATTGTGCCCCAGAGCCTCCTAATGGAATGGTGTGATAGTGACAATGCTGGAGTGTGAGGCTGACAGTCACGCAGACCTGCCACAGCCTGGCTTTGGCCATGTCCTCTTAGGTATCTAGCTCACCCTGTCACGCTAGATAGAATGTTGCAGGATTCAATTACTGGGTGTGGAATATTAGAGCACTTTTCATTATAAAACTTCAAGAATGGCCATAAACCAACCTTAAAAATGGTGTAAGGGGTGGCATTCAGGGTTGGAGATGGCATGCTGTACTGACGCTGGGGTTTGGGAGATGGTTTCTTAAGAGGCCCTTTTGCTCTGCGCCCTTCAAGTCAGTCACATTGGCTTTGCACGTACTGTCTTCAGACCCACTAGTTGCCAGGAAAGAAGAGATGGAGGCAGCGACTCCAGGTGAATCAGAGCAGCAGTGAACTCCAAGCAGAGCCTGTCAAGTCCTAATGGGAAAGGGGAAATAAGTTAGGACCCACCTTCTTTTCTCCTGTCTTAAACAAAACAAAGGTCTTCCATCCCTTGCCCTAAGCACATAGCTCCTACCTTCCTTTCCCAGGAACAAGCAACGCTGGTTGGTTCTTGTAACAGTCCACACACCTGGCCTATTGCACTGTCAAATCTGAGGGGGAAAACCCGATGTGATGTCTGGGGAAGTGGCAAGGACAGACATATTGTATCGGCCACAGCACATAATGGAGGATTTAGGGGGTTGAAGAAGGGGAAGGTTGGGTAGAACGGTTATCGTCAGGCCATCTGATGGGCCTCCGTCCACCTCTTCTGGTACCACCAGCAGGAGCTCACATTTCTTTCCTCACAAAAGACGTTTTAGAAATTTCCTGAGCTTGCTCTTGCTTCCAATCCACTCTTCAGTTTGGAGTCAAGGTTGTAGAAGGCACCACCCACCTCTTGAACTCTGACCCTTGTGCTGCCTTTTGAGAGGCAACTTCGGTGGCCCCGCAGCACAGGCTGGAGGGTAGATTCATGACGAAGCCCATGACATTAGTGAGAGCGATGGCATGGACATCCCTGCGCTCAGCCCACCAAACAGCTCCATAGCCTTTGGTTTGAAGTGCTGGCATCACATCGTAGTTCCCATTTCCCAGCATTCTCTTCTTGTGGGGGGCTCACCATGTTGTTTGGAGACAACACTTGGAAAATCTCTTGCAGCATTTCCCAGGTGATGGCACTGCTGTCCTGGAAGATGTTATGGAGGGCGTGCAGGGCACAAAGCTCCCTGGACTGTTTCTCATGGCAGGTTTGAAGGGTTGCTGCCTGGGGCAGTTTCATTGATTCAGATTTGACCTTGTCTCCTTTCCATGGCACACAACTTGTTTCATTTTAGGTTCCAGAGAGGGTGAAAAGCACCCCACCTTTCCCTCCTGAAGAAGAATGCAAGCTTCTCAGTTTTTTCAGGATTCCTGAGGTACACCTTATTTTTCTGGTGTCCATGATTTATGGTGTGTCATGAGGAGAAAAGGTTGGAATCAAAAGGAAAAACAATCCACCTCTTTTTCCTCTCTCTTCCCAATAGAAAAATAACTTTTGGATTAGTGTACTAATCCAAAGTACTGAATTTTTAAAAATCATATAAAATCTAAGACCTTGTTCTCTTCTCCCACCCTGCCCTCCCACTCCTACCCCCACTCCCCCATTCCCAAAAATAAATCCCTATGATTTTCTTGCTGTGTTTTCCTCTCTGCAAAAGCCACCCAGGCCTCAATGCAGGAGGACAGACTGGAATCCGTCACATTGCTCCCCTTCTTCCATTTCTTTACAACAACACCACTGACTCAGGAGACAAGGTTTAGGTGGTGGGTAAAACGTAGCTTGTCAGGGCCCCCCAGCGCCGGCGTGGGATCGCGGGCCTTGCTGAGGATCGGGCGAGGTTCTCCAACAGCTTGGGTATGGTTCAGTCCCCGCAGGGAGTGGGCCAAGGGGGCCAGCTGCTTCGGAAAGCTGAACTCTCACCTGTTCTACCACCTGGAGCTGTGGCCCATCACCTGGGCCTCACTCAGTGAACTAGCAAATGGGCATCTGTGGAATTTTAACCTTTTTAAATTAAAACTGTAAATTTAGTATTCTTTTCTTTGAGTACTCACACAGGTGAAATGCACTTGATAACAGGAGGACATTGATATAGTTCATTCCTAACCCAACATAGCAGACCTCCTTTCACATGAAGATTGGGATAGTTCCTCTTTGGGGGAGAAGTTGTAGATCCCCAACTCTCCCTCAACGACAGACAAGGATTGTCTCATTAAAAGGTAATAAAGTATATGTCTTCACCAACTAAGCTAAAAGTTACTGTTATCAGTGAAAGTATAATTATTCAGAAAGCAGCTAACTTTGAAATGAAAACAAAATTTAACTCATCCACTAGGATCCACTGTTAAATTGGCTCAGAAAAATGTTCCTCTGCATCCAAATATACCCAGATGCCCAGCAGCAAACATTTCATCCCCACTAAAGTACTGATACATTTATCAAAAAGAAGGAATTCAGTGAAGAATTTCAGAGAGAGGGAAGTTAAAAAGAGTTAGTCTTGGGCTGGCCGAGTGGTGCGATGGTTAAGAACTGGCTTGGGACGCCAGGGGGTCTCGGTTCGGATCCCACATATGAGGGCCAGTGACACTGCCCTCTACAGCTAAGATGCCGAACAACAACTCAACCTGGAGCTGGGCTGCTGTGATTTGCCAGCAACGGCGTAGGCTGCAGCCCCTATGGTGGTGGGTTGCCATGGGCCACCATGTGTAGCCAGCAGCCAGCGTGAGCGGCCGTCCAGAAGCCAGCGACTGATCTGCCTTGCCTGGGAAGAGCACAATGATGGTGCCAACTTGGGCCAATGAAGCAACGTCTTCCACAACTAGACTGAAGAACAAAACGACAGCAACTTGTCTGTTCCCCTTCCCTCAATTCCCCAGCACTGTTCCCATCCTCCCAATTCCCCAATTAAAAAAAAAAAAGAGTTAGTCTTAGCTCCTTGACATTTCAGAAGATACTGTCAAGTCTTTGATCAAAAAATTAATTTTTAATCTAGGTCAAACATAATTCCCAAATACACACTGAACAGAGGTCAAACAACGGGCATCCAGGAGGAACTCCCGACCTGCAATTCAGTTTTGTTCATTTTTCACAACTTATGCTAGGAACGCTGAAGGGCTAGAAATATAAGAAGGGACAAAAAGTAAATGACCCCGCCTCTGTGAACCTTATATTCCACAATAAGATACTACCTTTGTCTCTATCTGATGTTGAAAATGAGTAGAATGGCAAATGTCTTGGAATGCTATTTAGATAAGATGGTCTGGGAAAGCCCTTCTGGGACAGAT